GAAAACTCTAGAGGGCCAAAAAGTAGCTTTCTTCGACCTACAAACACTCAAGTTTCTATCTTTCCCTCAATTTGGAAATAAGTTAAAGGAGGTGGAAGGGACTTTTCTACCATCTTGTTTAGTTTAATTTGCTTTTTGGGACAAAGTTTATCGCTAATTCATACGATATTTTTCAGGCTTGCAGTAATATGTACTTCACCATGGAATCACTAAATCAAATCCACTTCCTGTATCAGTATGCTCTCAAGTTCTTTCTGGATATCTTCAGCTCTGTGCTTTTTAATAATCCCAACCTCAAAGGAATCAACGATCACACATCTAGGCTCAATCAGATCACTAAAGATTTATTCAGGGTAACCACCAAGAATTTTTCCACCATTATTTCCGTTTTAGAGTTATTTTTTTTTATTATTATTATTTTATGTTCAAAAGATGTAAAATTACAAAGCCAAGATTATTGAACACTTTCCTTGCCATGCCTATCAAATTTAGCGTTTTGTGTTAGTCTTTCCCGGTCTAAATGGTCATATTCACATGTCCTTTTTCCAGCGAATTTTCAACACACAGTAAGAGCATTCTCTGCCAATTTTATCAACAGCTGGAGCTGTATGAGCACTCAAATTTCTAGTTGAGTCCAGTTTATAGTGAGTCCTGAAGTTTTGGACTCAGGAGGTCAAAACTTCTAGAGTTGGGCCGAAATGGATTCTCCGCGTCACCGGATACGGATACCGATTTTTTGTATCCGGCCGGAGCCGGATACCGGATAATTTGCCGAGGTATCCGGCCGGAACCGGATAATACCGGATCCGGATAGTGCTTTTTCGCGTGAGAAAAATCTCCCGATTTCGCGCGAGAAAAATCTTCCGATTTCGCCCTTGAGACAAGAGGCACACTGTGTATTACACCATCAAGACCCTCATCCACGATGTACGTGTCATCGCACGGGCAACCTCCATATTTTTCAATGATACGCTATGATTCGGCCCGCTAAAACGAGTACTAAAAAAAAAAAACCTGGCAGATAAGCAGCGTGGCTTTCATTGGCTTCATGGTATGATGGGCCAGATGAATCTGATGTGCAGAAAGAGAGATATTATTAGAAAACAACACAAAAGTGGAAAACAGCACTTTGATGCTGCAATAACAAGCTGCGTACTGCGACATTACAATAACTGCAGAGTTACACTCGGCCTATAAACGTTACCAACAGGGGACTTATGTACATGTTGGTGGCATTGTTTTTTTTTTCTGTTCCAGCTGCATCTTCTTCTTTAAAAGTGGAACACGCGGACCTTCGGAATTAAGGATCACGTCGCAATCGTGTAAATGTGCGAGAAACATCCGTAAATCCGGTGATAACAAGTTTCGAAAAGTTGAACAAGTACAATGACTACTCAAAGTGCGCTGAAAAAAGCCAAAATATCACCAAAAGTTTCTCGAGATTTTCATGGCCGTAAATGCACTATCCGGCGAGTTCAAAAACCGGATATCGCGATTATCCGGCCGGATACGGATACCCGCAGAAATCGTATCCGACCGAATAATCCGGCAATCCGGATAATTGCCGGGTACCCGGCCCAACTCTACAAACTGCCAAGCTCAAAAAAAGCTCGTAAAGTTGAGGTGGTACTAGAGGACATCCCGCATTCTACTCGTAGAGTTCACCATCAAACTCTCCCTTTCAAGACAGGGAGAAATTATTATATGTTATATTAGCAAAGTTGCTGTTGTGTCAGCGTTGGAATGTTTCTAGGGGCAACCCTGCTAATATATCTACTTCCTATCTGTGCATGGAAAATTTCATTGGATAAGGAGGTGGACTCTCAGCGTAGCAAGGGTGATCCCCTCAGTGGGTCAGTTGCGCTAGTCACAGAATCGTAATTTGATGCTTGACTCTCACAGATTAGCTGAAAATAGTAAGAGCTGTACAAGCAGCAACTTTTTACGTTAAATATTAACTGAGATATTGCATTGAAAAATTTGGTTTATGACGTCATTCACTGCGGTAGTGACACCCTTGGTTTCTTCCACCTTGCTTTCATCTATCAGGGAAACACACATATGCACTGGTACATTAGGCACTGCTTTTTAGGGCCAACGTTTGTATCAAATCGCTAATTTTGGTGGTCTTGGCAACCAAATCTGCTAGATCACAATTTAGCAAACAAATTACCAATGGTAAAACTCAGCTTTATGAGGAGTTCCGGCTGAAAGAAGGGAGCCATTTTAGTGCTACCGCATATTTGTCTCTTTAAGCCGTGCGGAATTCTTCAATGCTGATGAAGATGTACTGAATCACGCCAATTTGGACCGTGAAATAGAATGCTCAAGTTCACTATAATGGCAGTTCTAAATTATTTTTATTCACATGCAGGAAAAGAAAGATCAGGAACATTCACTTTGCATTAGTTTTACTCTAAAAAAATTCACTGTTCACACATTTTTCTAGATAATAGGAAAATAGATATGGTAAAACTATTAATTTTAATGGTAACCGTTCTTTTTGTCAGCTTTACAATTTCATGTTTCTATGGTAAAGATAAATAAAGTGGAAAAACTGAATCAAAATACAAAAAAAACTCAGGTACAAGAGAAATTTTTTTTGTGTTCAAAATAATTTTGCAAGTTTAAACTAGACGTTGAACTCAAGAGTCCAAACTTGATTTGACTCAAGATTCACTTCCAAAGCTCCAAGAAGCTCAATATCGATGGCAACACCATCATTTGGTTTAGACTATGATATAGTTTCGACGATGTCGAGGTAATTGCATAAAAACGGAAACTGTTTTATTAGTTTTCGTGTTTTTTCTTTGTTTTTTTTTTTGTAATTTTGTTATTTGATGTGCAAACGAAAATTTGTATTTCCTTCCTTGCAGTAACCCCCTACACCGGTAAAATGACCCAGTTCCTCCAGAGCAGTTATGGAAGAGGATGATTACCATTTAGTTAGTAGGAAGTCTATTATGAATAGGAATATATTCTTAAGCGTTACAGCTTTTTTAAATTTTTATTTACTCTCTTTGAAACTTTATAAATTCGTTCTCTCAATTATTTTTATAATGGTTCAGGAGTTTCTGCTCTTTTACATTGATTGCAGGTTGGTTATGAAAGAGTGGCACGAGGTATGTTACATACAGATCGTATCACACTCGCAATACTGCTTTGTCGAATTTATTTGAAAGGATTACCAACTGAACCAACTCTAGACACTGAGTTCCAATTCTTCTTGCGGGGAAAAGAAGGTATTCTTGCTCAGAATAGCCAACCTGCATCGCTGGAAACTCTTTCTCTTGAACAGCTTGAAGCTATGCACAGGCTTTCCGCCAGGTAATTACTTTCATTGGAATATATACTTACAAATTACTCAAGGCGGGTTCTATTACCTTTGGTCAAACTGCTAGTTACTTTTGACGAGAGGATAAACACGAAAGTTGCGTTTTAACACCTCTTGATACCACCAACTCTTGGTCAGATTTAGCTTGACAAAGGGAAATCTGAAAAATATTTCAAGCACTTGGACCATCTATCAAATGGTTTCACCAGAGGTTAACTTTAAATCCTATTCCCTGATAGGTTGATGTCACAGTCCACTGCAAAAGTTCTTCCATCTATTCCTCGTTTTTCCTTTGTCCCTCTCAAGAATTGTCTAAGGTTTCACTAACGAGCGCTATGTTGCCGAATGCATCAACTGAAGGTTGTCCAATTGGGATGACACTCAAAGTGTACCTTGAGCGTACTTTTGAGGTGTACAGATTTACCGCAGGATGTGCTGCTGTCGAGTCCACTATTGATATGTGTACCATTGAATGCCGCAAGCTCACCGTGAGTTCTCAATGGACAAGTGGCCAGCGCCCTCTCTGTCTTTTTTAGTGGTTGCAAGTAGAGCACCTACATACACAAAGTATGGTCATTTGTGTGCTGTGCCTTCGTTCGTCAGAAAAAAGAGGTTGATATGTTGTGCTTACGGCTGGAAGTAAACTAACAAGGTGGCAACTTCACGCATCTATTGAATTCCCTCCAGAAGAAATTAATGAGGTAATCATGAAACATTTGATAATGAATTCAATTGTCTACTCAGAAAAATCTTCAGGACTAATTTTAGGTAATACTAACATGATAATTTGAAGAATAACAAAGAATTGGGTTGATCTAGGAAAAGAGAGTTGGTAATGGTTCATCTGGATTAATTTCTTGTGAAAGGGTTGGCATACATTTTTGAAGCCTATTGACTAATAAGAGTGTTCGTTTATTTATGGCCGTAAGGGCATCATGATAGCCTAAAACTCTTACACCAATCAAAAAGCTGCGCAATTGTACCGTATTGAAAAGATAGAAATGGCTACACTCAGACTATACAGGCACTCTACTTACAGGATCGAACCTTGTTGCATCATTAATTTTTCATTTCTTGGACTATATTCTTTGATTGTTAAAGGTTTTAGACCTTTCCTTCCCCTGATTTCTACTGTAGCTACTTTTAAGCTTTTGTAGATAGGCGACCTGAAGAAGACATTCGCAACTTTAAGAATACAGGAGCAACTTTTAAAATTGGATATCGGACTTCCATTATTTGTATTTCCTGACTCGATAGACAAGGTTAGATGAGGTTAGGTTGGAAGTTAGTTTTATTTTTTCATAAGTTTCTTCTGTTTTCTGTACATAACAGAAATATGTTCAATCTCTCAGGGAAAAAAATAAATGAATAATCCGCCCCGATTGAATGATGGCCTTCCTCACTTCTGTACTGATACAGAATAGAGTTTCAACTTTTATTCAGTAGGTGATGCAGTGTCTTTTCTTAAAGTTCCAAACTTAACTCTCGGGGGAGAGGGAGGAGGGCTTGACAAAGGATCTCAGTATCAACTTTGGAAAAAGTTTTGGAGTTTTGTAGATTAGTCCATTATGCACATTTTCCATTTGCAGAAATCATTAATTTTTGGGTGCGTATGATATAGGATTCCCTGTTTCTGTGCTAATTATAACCTATCTCTTGACTCCTTTCATATGCACTGCTTTATCTCAATTTACTTTTTTAGCAAACTTGAGGCTTTCTATCTTTCTTTCTAAATTTTTTCATCATATTTCTATTCTTCAAGACTGCCAGTGTTCAAAAACCTGAGTCAAAAAATTGAAGAAATGCCAGAATTTGGTGCTTGGTTACAACAAGGCAGCCCAGAACAGTGTGTTCCTGTTCTGTGGGAGGAAGAGAAACCACTTAGTCCAATAACTGTTGCTATGTATCAACTTCTTATTATTCAGGTAAATCTTTCATGTATTGTCTACTTTACTCATTGAGAATTATTTACTTGCAAGGAGAAGCTCATGATTTCTGCTCTACAAACTTCCAGACTCTATGTACATTCATTATTGCATTAGAGCAGGAGCGGCATTAGATGTTATAATGCACTATTCAAGTCAAAATATTTTTCTATGCAGCAGATCTTACGATTTTTTGGGAGAATGTTAATTTTAATGGCAATTACTGGAAGTGGTAATTTTGACTAAGAGATCATTTTCAGAATCAGCACTGAAAATTTGCTGAATGCTGATGATAGTAATGGTGGTTAATTCTATTAACCAAATCAGAGATATTATCATATTGAAATCCGCCAATCCCATCCTTTAATTTAATCAATAAAATCACAAAATCATTGCAAGAAGTAGATGTTTTGTTTGAAGTGATGAGGGTACAGGTAACAATTTTTGGTTTATTGAGGTTTTAATGAGGTAAAAGGATAGTTTCTGGAACCTGCCTGAGACATGTTCCAGTTCTCACACTTCAAAACATATCAAAATATTATGACAACATCGCCTCATTGTTCAAGGGTGAAGCGTTTCTGGGCTTTTTTTAATTTGGAAAACGTACATAGCACGAAAATGCAGAATAGTTCATAGGGAACGCTTGAATTTTCCTGAACTTTTTTTCAACATTTAGATCGCCTGCTTTGACGTTGAAGTCAAAAGGAGGAGTGTCATTAAGGGCCACAGTACGTTATAAACACTTTTAATGCGGTCAACATACCACCCGTGATTTTTTTGCGGAAATGTCAACTAGAAGGCCTACTGATTGAGGAACAACAAACCGCGAAATCTGTAGTTTGGCCGTTTTAGAGAAAATGCGATTTTTCGCTTTTTTGGCGGGAATTTCGGGTCAAGACGCTGAAAAAGTCAAGTTAGGCTGTTTTTGTGGCTTGTAAATGCAAATCCTATACATTTTTAGTCAATCAAGTGTCAGTATATAGCTATTCGTGCGTACTGCCAAAAATTGCCCCCAAATTGCCTTAATTTCAAAATGGGGGCCATAATAAGGCCTCCGGGATTTCGATTTTTTTCAAATACGCATACAGTGTCATGTAAAGTGTCAACTCCTATGTAGTTTTGGTTGTAGATTTCAGCTTTGAAGTTAAAAAAGCCCCCGGTCAAAGGGGGTACCCCAAATCTAAGATGGCAGCCAATTTTGAAAGACAAGAGGGTGAATTTTTAAAATATTCGCGTGATAAGGCAAGTGAGGTATCATTTCTTATGTAATTTTGGTTGTAGATTTCATTTATGAAGTCATAAAAGCCCTCCAGTCAAAGAGATTGCTCCGAATGCCAAGATGGCGGCCAAATTTGAAAGGCAGGAGGGTGAATTTTTGAAATGTTTACGTGAAATCCATGGTAAAAGTGAATCAGCCTGACGTCAGGCTATGTTTCATAAACTACCCTGACTCAGACTAATTCAGCCTGAATTAGTCTGAGTAGAATAGGTAAGAGGGTTTTGACATGGATCCTCAGATATCTCTATGAAGCATTAATTTCAGTGACCTATCTTTTTTACGCATTTTTGCGGACACGTCAGTGATTCTTCAAAATTTAGCTGAGTCAAATAAAAAGGCTTCTGCAAGGGCTTTTCATACAAAAATGTCGCAATTGTTGCATGACTCATTGAAGGAGGAGACTATTCTCAAGAAAAATACTGGACTTTAGCCAGCTGATTGAGTATTTTTTTTCATGCTCTTTTGAAAGCATTTGTAGGACCTGAATCGAAAAATATTGGACTTGGTGCAATAAAATATTTCATATTGTTTTGGAGCACCTAGAAGGCTCAGATCAATCCATACAGACTATTTTTTTTTACTTTAAATAAAAATGCAAATAGGTGAGGAAGGGGGCTCCTGCAAGGGCTAAACATTCTTACACGTCATGACTGTTGCATTACTCATAAATGAAGAGGCCTTCATTCGATCTACAGTGAAGTTTAATTTTTCATTTCCTTTTAGAAGTATAATGCCTACTTGAAGATACATGCAGCTTAGCAAGGGAATTTACTGAGTCTCTGAGAAAACTTTTCTGCGAATGCACGAGTCATGATTATTGAATTAGTTACGTAGCTCTAAATTTTAAAGATAAAATATTCGACTTTGTGCGATAAAATATATTTCAAATTGTTTTAGAGCACATATAAGGCTCAGATCAGTCCATACTTTTCTTTTTGATTTTATGAAGATTCTGAATAAAAAATGCAAAAGTTAAATAAAGAAAGAGGACGTTATGTGCTCCTTCAAGGACTTTCCATTCACGAATGTAGCATTTGTTGCAAAGAGCGACCCGCTTGGGCTCCTTCAAGAGGTTCACATACACACATGCAGTGAATGTTGTATCACTCGTTTATGAAGGGGCACACATTCGATTTTCAGTAAAGTATAACTTTTAATTTTCTTTTAGGAGTAATAAGAAAATTTGGTTCAACAAGTTTGAGACTTTGGCCGGATTCTTTACCCCTTAGAATCTAAAAGTTATTTGGGGTTTTTTTTCTTAAAACCCCTATTTTTCCGGCAATTTGATACAAATTCTCGTTTAGCCCAAGAGAAATACGGAAGAAGAGGGCTAAGTGGGAACAAATTCTGTAACTTACTTTTCCCACAAGAATATAATCATTAGGTTGGTCTGAATAACACAAAACATACAAAAAGTTTGCCTCGGCTCGACTGCGGAATGCCCCTTGAAATGCCTAAAATTCGAAAAGTTGGCCGTGTTTTGATTATCAAGGATCAAGGTAAGTTAAAATGTACATCTAGTGTAGTGTGAGGTTTTATTCCCTATGTCGTTTTGGGCGTAGATTTCAAATATAGTGTCAAAAAAAGCTCCTGGTCAAACAGGGTGCACCAAATCCATGATGGCGGACAATTCAAGAAAGTTCCAATACCTACGGTCTCATGCATTTTTGTCGTATTTGCCATTGTTGCCATGTTATCATACATAAATCGGAATTCTCTTAAAAATTTGACTTAAACGTCAAATCGGGCGATCGAAATATTGATGGAAAAGTTCAGGAAAATTCAGGCAATCTTTATAAACCATTTGTCCACTTCCGTGCTTTGTCAGTCTTCAAAAGAAAAAAAAAGTTCAAAAACGCTTCACCCTAATGTATAAGAGAATTTTCGAAATATAATAAGCTCCACCTCTCAACAATTAGTAACACCCAATCAAAATGAAAAAGCTCTGCATTGTTGCAAAACGGTTACGATTGCTTGCCAAACAAAATAAAACTTCCGAGCGACGTTACTTCAAAGCACGTAACCAATGCCAAACAGATTGATAAATAGCAAATTTTTGGTCAAGTTGAATCAGCCTTAACATTAACAACCCATCTTGAATGATTCTTGGTCATCATCTATTTGCATTTTTGGTGCATGTTAATACTTAGAAAAATGCAGAAAAGATTTAATGTGACCATACGATGCAAGTACATAACTTGTTGCCTGCCACAGTGTCATGGCATATTTCTTCTTAGTGCCACGGCATTTTTTTCCCCTCAAGAAAACAAAATGTATAAGTTCAGTGGTGCATTCTTTTGCTGAGGCCGTATTCCAGTTGAAAGGTCTTGGCACTTGCAGAACCCTTCAATGCCAGCAATAAGCACATGAAAGTAATTTAAATACTTGAGAATAGCAAGACCTCATAAATGGTAATGATGTTTTTTAGTGACTTTTTAAGGCATTGAATTTATACTTTTAAGAAGTGCTGTTCTATCAAAGTTCTAATTGAGGGATGAATTTTAATGAATTTCATTTAATTGCACAGACCTTCCGCGGTGACCGAGTGATAGCAGCTGCTCAGATTTTTGTGTCTGCAGTACTGGGCGAACATTTCATGTTTGCTGCTGAAAAAGAGCTGGATCTTGGTGCTATTGTCGAAAATGAAATCCAAGCCAATGCACCTGTTCTCTTATGCTCAGTACCAGGATATGATGCATCAAGCCGTGTTGATGACTTAGCCGCAGAGTTAAGCAAACCCATTGCATCCATTGCCATCGGATCCACGGAAGGATTTAATCAAGCTACCAATGTTATTAATGTTGCTGTTCGCTCTGGAAAGTAAGTGAAATATCTAGTAACAACTATTATTCAATCCTAACATCTTTGCAAGAAAAGTGCTATGTGGCCAATTTAACTACAGAATGAGCACTTCTTCAGGCGCCAGTATGAATCTTAATTATTTTCATGTTAAGAAGCTGTAGGATCTAACATCATTTAGGGTTAGTTAGTTTTTATGCTATTTGCAAATTATAATGGCAGTTGCCTCTTATCAGAATCTCTTGAGCCACAGAAATCTTTTCAGTTCATGCAGGTGTCTGGTATGAGCAAGTTTGACAGAGGGGAGAAGAGCACAAAAAACCTAAAAACTTTTTCAGGCATCTTAGTATTGTATATGTGATTGTTAGGAAGTTTTAAAGCTTCCATCAGGGTATTAACAGGTCCGAAAGAAGTGGAAAAGAACAACAAAATTTTGTATTATATTTGAATGGACTCGGCTCAAGCGAATGAAAAAAACCAGCATTCGTTGTTGCAGCAAGATGCAGTGTAGGTACATTCATCCGAAATAAAAGTAGTAAAACGGCAACTTGGCAATCTTACAGTTTTGTAGGGACAAATTATCAAAAAATGTGTAAAATACCCATAAATAAAAAAAGTTCTGGAAGACATCCTGCCCAAACGCCATCATTTTATAGTCAAATCCACAATTTTGAAGTTCGAAACTTGGCAACGTCAAAACGAGAGTAAAAAAAATGATCTAGTCATGAAAACTTCAGAGAATTCGTTACTTATACGGAAGAATAACATACTAAAAATTCAGATCAATTCATCAAGACATGGGCCAATGCCATCGTGTTACCTCCAAACCCAAAATTTTCAAGTCGAAAACTTGGCAACGTTGCAACAAGAGGACAAAATCTTTTCCGGCAATGAAAATTTCAGAAAATTTTAAACTCATATCGGAGAGTAACATACTAAAAATTCAGACCGATCCAAGAAGCAAGGGGCCAGTGTCACAATTTTTTTGCAAAATCCATAATTTTAAAGTTTGAAACTTTGCAACGTTGTAATGGGAGCAAAAAAAATTTCTCGGTCATGAAAATTTCAGGAAAGACGTACTTTATACCAGAGAATAACATACTAAAAATTCAGATCAATCCAAGAAGAAATGAGGCAGGGGGGGAATTTAGTTGCCCTACGTGAGCCTCTTTTCCGAAAATAGCCTGAAAAAACCATAAAATCGCGATTATTTCTCCAGGAGCTCCAACAACCGATTTCGGAATTGTGGTTTTTAGTATCTGGTAGTGCTCTTCTTGACATTCCAGCTCAAATTTTTATGTCAGGACCAACTTCGAGTTAAACCCCTTTTAGGAGCACTGTGCATAAGGAGTGTGCGGGATCCTTTATGGTTTCATATGGTTAGCGGTGTCTGTTGATGCAGTAACTCTGAGAGGTATAAAACAAGCAGTGGTAGGGATTTTTTATGAATAATCTTGAAAAATCGATTTGTTACCAGAAAAGTTTCTTCAGTTGCGTCAATTCTCTTGAGAAATAATAATCGTAATGATCGATCTATCCATCTAAATCAGATTCGAAATTCCGATTTTATTTTTGCTATATTCATGAGCGCCCATAATACATGTTCCTACCGTGCAAAAATGTCTAACTAGGCTGATAATATTTTTCTGTATCTGTGTAAACTAAAAGCTCGTTTTTAACATTGTTTCTCTCAAAGGAGAAAAATTTCAATCTTAACCCCCCCCCCAATTTAGCTCTACCAAATCGCCTTTGAAGTAGTCTTTATTAAATTTCAGTTTATACTGTTGCAGCAGTATTCTCACAAGTATGCTAACAAAACTCCTACCGAACTCAATGCAATATAAACTTCTAAAATCAACAGTAACTGGAGAATATTTAATATTTTAATCCATCATTCTAATTCTAAAGTCTTTCCATCAATCAGGCTTTCATACTTATCACTCCCTTTTTTCTTCTCCCAGCAAGACTCGTCCTTATTTGATTTTAGGCTATCAATGTGCCATCAATAAATTAATCTGCTGGAGTATTGATTCTTTTATTTTTAGGAAATATGCCCAAAAAAATAACCCCATTTTTCCCTGAATGAGGGACTGAAGTTTCCTTGATGATTCGGAAAAAATACTCAAATTCTTCTAACTGATTCTAGTTAAAAGCCTGTTTTACTCCTCTGGAGTATTCACTCATTTCTAGTATAGGGAGATTGAGTTTATAGAAAAACTGGCTTGTTATACTGAAATCTTTTGTAACCTGTGTTTGTTGCCATCCTACCTCACCAAAATCTTGTGCTTCAATTTTCATGCCAATACCTCTGAGTGAATTATCTTGATTATAATGTGTTTTTAGGTGGGTTCTGTTGAAGAATGTCCACTTGGCTCCACAGTGGTTGGTTCAGTTGGAGAAAAAACTCCACAGCTTGCAACCACACACTAGTTTCCGGCTCTTTCTCACCATGGAGATAAACCCTAAAGTGCCTGTGAATTTGCTTCGTGCCGGAAGAATTTTTGTTTTTGAGCCACCGCCAGGAATAAGAGCCAACTTACTTAGAACTTTCAGCACGGTGGGTTTATCACACACTTCATTGTCCTTCAGAATCAATCATGTTACCTTTGCATCTATTTACAAAGCGTTTGTACTAGTCCTCATGATGTGTCACCCTGAATATCCCGTGTCAGGAGCTCCTCTCAAAATTTCAGAAGAGGACATGACAATATTTTCACTGTATACATATTTTTTAGGTGCATGGCCAAGTTGCTTTAGGCACTGGTAACTGGTACTTGTTGGCAAAAGGAAATCAGGAAGGCTTCTATGCAAAGTTGAGGAAAAATAAATTGATGCAACTTTAAAAAAATGAAACAATCCCATAAAGTTTTGTTTTACACCCCACTTTTTAACTACAAGGTAAAAACAAGAAACGTATCAAGACAAACGGACAGGAAACAACTAAAAAAATAAGGGTCATTCCACATTAATAGACTAGGTCCAGAGGCTGACTCCCTCAAAATTGGGGTCTTTTTATCATTCTCAGAGTTTATAATGTATAGATAGACCCTGTAGATTAAACTACAAAAAAGTCTAACAGTCTCCTTTCTGTGTGTTAAAAAATTAAGCAAGCAAGTAACAACTCTAATTAATGGAGTATGAATCGGAATTTTTTCAGGTGCCTGCATCCCGAATGATGAAAGCTCCCAATGAAAGGGCGAGACTGTACTTTCTCCTGGCATGGTTCCATGCCATCGTTCAAGAACGTTTACGTTATTGTCCACTTGGTTGGGCAAAATATTATGAATTTAATGAATCAGATCTGCGTGTTGCCTGTGACACTCTTGATACCTGGATAGAAAGTACTGCAATGGTAAGAGTATTTTCTTTCCATGTTTTTTTCTCTCCTTCATACCTGGTGTTTCAGAGCACCCGTCCACTATCTTTTTCTCGGAAACGGCCGAGAATTGAACTTCAGGGGTACATCACCCCGAAGAATTTAATGAAAATATTTTTAGCCCCTCAAAACCCCATTGGGGGGGGGGGATGCTCCCTGTCTCTCGCATTTTTCGAATGGGAAGGGTATGTTTTGACTTCAGATTTAAATTCTATGGCCAAAAGTAAGAACTTTTGGTTCTATGCATTTTTTCCCTAAACCCCCATTTTTTGGAGATACGGGGCATTTTGAGGCATTTTTAGGGAAAATTTCAATTAGACCCCGTAGGCGTTAAAATTATCCAATTTTCCAAATCTATATGTCTCCTGAGAGAAGAAGTCAATACCTTTTTATTGATGTGCCACCTGACCCTTGTTAATCCAAAATTAGTTTTGGCTGTAAAATTAAAATCTGAAGTCAAAACATACCCTTCCCATTTGAAAAATGCGAGAGACAGGGAGCACCCTAGGGCGAATTAAAAAATATCGACTTTTGAATTTCAAAAATGTATAGAGGGGAAAAGTTGCACCTAGACATGTGTGCCCAAGTTTTCCTCGAAAAAAAGAAAGTTTTTTGGGTGCTGCTTTTGCAATTTGTGTCAGAAAATCACGTGTATCAAGCTGTTTCCCCCTGTTCCATCGCACTGTTCAAGCATGATAGAGATTGGCTAGAGCCCTGATTTTTGGAATAGTAACTCACTTTTAGCAGTCATCTAAGGTATGTTAATTAGTTTTTGGATCATCATATTTTTTGTGCCCCCCACATGCCCTTAAAAATGCAAAAAACGCGATTGCGGCCGAATGCGCCTCCTCGTATATTTCACCGTTTTTATCGATTTTTTAGGTGACTTGGCAGCCATACAAAAAGTCAATATCCGGTTTTTAGGAACCATTCGAATAGATGATGAAGGAAAAATATTAGTTTTTTGGACACGGGCGGTTTCTCTCCCATTTGTAAGCTCACAGTTAGGGCAGATCGCTCGATTTGGTCGAAATCACATCGATTTTTGCCATTAATTTAATTCCTATCAGGTAAATTAACAAATTCAACTCTCAATGACTTTAATCATTATTTTAAAATTCTACACGCGAGGCAATAAAGTAATTGAAAAAGTTCACTCATATACTTTAACATATATACTAGCGTTGCCATTAAAAGCCAACACAATCTGTTTGGTTGCTAGCTGTTACTGGCAAGATCTTTGCCAGTCAAGTCAGCGTTACGCACCTCTGTGCAGTAACGAATTTAATGTACCCATAGAGTACATAGAGTCGTAATGTAAATGGGAGAGCTGGCGCCATGTTCTGCTCGACGAGTTCTGAGCCCGGTGTGCGCTGAGTTCGAGTCGCTTTTTTGACACATTTTCGATCCAAAATGGCGGTGTGGAATACGCGGTAATTCCTATCTCCTTTGTTGTTGTTGTTGTTATTGGATAGCCGTGTATCGCAATTAATCGATTATGTATCGAAAAAGTGACCCGACGTCACACAGAAGTCTCAGAATTCGGGACATGGAAAATGCTTAAAAGTGGCGCCAGCTCTCCCACTTACATTACGACTCTATGTACTCTATGAATGCACCCAGTGAAGTTTTGTCCTTACAAGCTTCATACATATCTCTCTTAGTGTTTCTCGTGGCACAGTGATCTAGTTTTCAAAATGGGATGGATAATGGATGGAAATATTAAATTCATCGAGAGTTGAATTTGTTAATTTACCCGAGGAATTATTTTGAACAACAATAAAGTAAGAAGTCCTTGAATAGAGAAACGAAAAACGATTAGTTTTTGTGAATTCTCGTATCAATATCAGCTCAAACACGTAAACAAAAGAGTCAAAATATTAGAGATTTTTAAGTGAATGGGAGTCAAGAGTCCTGTCTCTCTTGCCTTTGATGACGTACAAAAACTAACCTGAACAAAAAATGTTTTATGGGGTCATATTCTGCCATGAACAGAGTCTCTTAAAACTGAGGGGTGAAAATTTTGCGTCGTTGCCAAGTCACTGAAAATAATCGTCAAAAATCGCTAAAAATCATGCGTTCCTGGCTTGGTTAGGGCTCCGCGGAGGTACAAATACATCCCCCAGCAAAATAATTATTATATCCTCTTATTCCAGTGTGAAAAGAGTTTACGAAAATTTAACGCCCGATTTTTTACATGCTTGAGGCAAGTCGTGCAAAAAAAATTGCGAAAATCAATGTGATTTTGACCAAATCGAGCAATTCGGCCTATTTGTGAGCTTGCAAATGGGGGAGTAACCGCCCGTGTCCAAAAAACTAATATTTTTACTTCATCATCTATTTGAATGGTTCCTAAAAACCGGAAATTGACTTTTTGCGTGGCTGCCAAGTCACCTAAAAAATTGATAAAAACGTTGAAATATACGAGGAGGCGCATTCGGCGACAATCGCGTTTTTTGCACTTTTAAGGGCATGTGGGGGGTACAAAAAATATGTTGATCCAAAAACTAATTAACATACCTTAAATGACTACTAGAAGTGAGTTAATATTCCAAAAATCAGGGCTCTAGCCAATCTCTATCATGCTTAAACAGTGCGATGGAACAGGGGGAAACAGCTTGATTTACGTGATTTTTTGACACAAAGAGAAAAAGCAGCACCCAAAAAACTTTGTTTTTTTTTTTAGGAAAACTTGGGCACACTTTAGTTTGATTCCTAGGCGCAATTTTTCCCCCTATACATTTTTGAAATTCGAAAGTCGATGTTTTTTGGCTCACCCTAGGGCACCCACCATAAAACCCACACCCCCCCCCCCCCCCCCCGGGGAAACCCCCCCCCCCCCCCCCCCATGGGGTTTTTTGAGACTGAAAATATTTTCATTGAATTCTTCGTAGTTGATGTACCCTTGAAAGATTTTGCCCTGTAGTTCGATTCTCGTCCGTTTCCGAGAAAAATATAGTGGGCGGGTGCTCTAGAATACTCAGTGGATCTGCATTGTTTGCTACGTTTTGCACAAAGACTCCTCCTAAAAACTGTTCAACTCTCTGTAGAAAAAAATAGGGTAACCAGTAAAGTTGAGCAATTGGTAGAGTACTGACTGAGAACAATGTGGACGGATCCCAGCCATTGGTCTAAGTCAATGGGTGTAGAGAAGACTCGTCACTTTATCGAAGGTTTTGTAGCATTGCTAAGTGACCAATATCCTGGCACATTACTTGTCAACCCCAGCTTAACATCCATCTCTTTTGCTTGCATGTGTCCCTGTAGTTTTAGTCACGTAGCTTTAATATTTTGTTGTTACATTATGGTTTCTTGTAGCACGCTCTTTTCATTAAAATTGTTTCAAGGTATACTTGACAGGGAGAAAAAGTCGTTTTGTATGAAGACACACTTCAACTATAATTATACACGAATCTATTTTCACTTTGCAGCACCTTATTCCGAGTGAACTTCGTGTCACAATCTGAATTCTGCTCACCCTTTATGACTCCCACCCAATTTTTGTCCCCTTCATGTTTCAGCGAGAGTACCCATATAGGGAGAGTATGAACAACTCGAAATATGTAGCTGTTAGGGCCCAAAAGGGTAAGCAACCTTTGTCAACGAAAAATGTCACTGTCAATCTTTAGACTCCAATATCAAACGAAAATGGAAAAGAAAATTCATAAGTAAGCATTCTCCCACAAAAATGAGGAAGTTTACGCAAAAACCAAATTTAATACGTGCTTTACCAACGACAGTTCCCAACAATTGTGATTATTAATCACTCTGGATAATTTGAATTCATAGATTGCCTACCCTTTTGTAGTCTAAGAGCTCCATCACCTAACCTCAAAATTGTCGACATGTCCATACTTTTCCTATATAGGTACTCTAGTTTCAGCAAGGCTAATTGTTCGCCTTGAAATTAGAGCATACTGTCTCTTTTGAATTCTATAATTTTACTTTTTCTCTTTCAGAGATGACAAGTTTTTCTCTGTCATTGCAAACTTCAATTTTTTTACTTGTGGCTTCAGTTGAATGATAAGATGAAAAATAATTTTTTTTTTTTACTTCATTTCTTAGGGCCGAACAAACTTGCCGCCAGAAAAAGTGCCATGGGATGCCCTAGTCACACTTCTCTCGCAATGCATCTACGGTGGAAAAATTGACAATGATTTTGATCAAAGACTACTCACTTCTTTCCTCACAAAATTGTTCACACCTAGAAGTTTTGAGGCAGACTTTGCCCTTGTTGCAAATGTCGACGGAGTGGCTGGAGGTCCCACCGGTAACAGGTACATTTTTCAGCTGTAGTATTAACAAAAAGTCCTTTCAATTGGATGTATAAATATAATGGGAGAAGAAAGTTTTTATGAGTCATCAGCATTTGTTTCTGAGATCCTTCAGGTATGAACTATCATATAGCTATGCATTTTTAAATTTTTCAGGCACATTACCATGCCTGATGGGGCCAGGCGTGATCAATTTTTACACTGGATTGAATCGCTTGCTGATCGCCAAACACCATCTTGGTTAGGGCTTCCAAACAATGCAGAAAAAGTCTTGCTAACAACCAGAGGTAAATACATTTCCATCTTGATTTTTTACTCTTAAATTTGCAGGGGAATTGATTTGCAAGTATATTCAAAGGGAACAGAGCCAATCCTTCCCTCGCCTCCTTTTTTGCCAAGAAATTACAAAACAATGGGGTGAAAACTGAATATCTGAGTGCATAACTGAATACCCAGTGTGGAAACTTTTTTCTTCTTATGCATATACTGTGAAAATGAATGTTTGGAAGTTTCCGTTAAAAATATGCAAATATTGTTGGATTTGAAAGGTCTTGTTTCAATATTCTTAGGCAAAAGTCTGTGTTGAGGATGATTTGCATTACATTTTGCAATAAAGAACTAACGGTTTTTGACTCGTCCATGAAAGGACCTATCTGCTGAGGGAAACTAATTTCACATAATAGGACTTTTCTGACCAAACAGCTTATACCCATATTACCATTCATTGCCAAGATTGTGCATGTATTCAACTCTCTAGTTGGTAGAGAGCTGTAAGCTTTGTCCGTTGCCTATGAGAATGGAGAGGCCGTAACTAGTCAGTTTTGTGACGTCAAGCTAGTAGATATTTACCAAAAACAACAAGCATCTCCGGGTCATCGGTGCATCGATGAGTGAGGTAGTTGCTGCGTGGACCAATTAGAGTGGCCCTCGATCGGCCGGAGTTGCGCGAGATCCGCCGAAGTTGCGCGAGCGGCCCGTTTGAATCTGAGTGGAGTAAGGATTTTCGGTATCACGCTTTCATTTCCTCGATTTTTAGACAATGTCACAAATGGGTTGGTTAGTTCTCTAAAGTGAAATTTCATCTTCTTTCGAAAAGGTTCTTATGAAATTTTGCGTCAGATCAACCCTGAAGATATCGGCGAGAAATCATCGCGCGGCAAGCGTTCTCCCATAAGAACGCGTGTTAAACCGCGCACGGTTCGTTTCAAAGGGAGGTAAATGAAATTGTGTTGCCCACTCAAAATTCCTTCGGGATCTTGAAGGAGGATGCACACACAGTCATTTAAGCCTAAAATGAAAATATTCTGTCGAGCTCTTCGAAAATAAAATCGATTTTTGTGTTTTTGGCGCTAAAATGGCCTTCAAAGACGATGGATGATTAAATTCCGATGGGTTGTGCATATGTAAAATGGTGCATGTGTGATGGACTCTACGTATTTTTGGACCAGGAATCGATTGAGCAGGGTCCTGAATCGGTCGGAAGCTTCATTGACCGAAAAATGGGCCTTTTTTCGGATTTTAGGGGTGCTTTGGGCCCATTTTCCCCCAATTTTGGCGTGAAAAAACCTGTGCCGTCATGGGTAATGATTATCAGGTCATTTCGGGTGGACCATCGAATGCACATGGTTCCGAGACACTCCGGGGCTTCCGGAGTGATACAGGGTTTTCGAGATACAGGGGATCTAAGTCCCCGATTTTCACTCAATTCTGCAGGTATTTTAATGTTCAATTCCGACTATAAATTGTTTTCTGATTTAGATATCGAAGCGCATTTTGCGGTGGTTGATTCAGCTACGTGTGGTGGATTTTTCTACATATTTCACAAACCCTCACTTTGTTTTTTTTTGGGGGGGGGGGTGTATTTTTCTGTACAGGGTGTGCACAAGGTATGGGTACTTGTTAATACCTCGAGAACGGTGGCAGATATTGACTTACGGTTTGGACGAAACTTCCTTGAATTAAAGTAGGTACATTTTGGTGAAGGGTTATGACCCCCCTCGCTCCCTTAAGGGTTGGGAATACAGGGCAATTTTCGATTCTAGAATGGGAACCCCTATCGTGTGATACCTCGTTAGAAAGAACTTAAAAAAAGACAATTATTCGCGTTAATTACAGGTTGCCATCTATCACCGTCATAAAAAGGGCGGATGGATCAAGTTCAAAATAGCAGAAAATGGATATCTTGATCGTTAAGCGGTGGATTTTGATGAAACTCAGTAACCAGGGGTATTTTTTTCAGGAAAAGTACGAATCTGACATCAGAATGCAAAAAATATTACGATGTCTTAAAATTGGCAGGCTTTCAAATGACGGTCATATCGATATTTTCGAGAAGTTGAACCTACCACCCACCTCCCTGGGGGCAAGGGAGTCATAACCCTTCACCAAAATGTACCTACTTTAATTCAAGGAAGTTTCGTCCAAACCGTAAGTCAATATCTGCCACCGTTCTCGAGGTATTAACAAGTACCCATACCTTGTGCACACCCTGTACAGAAAAATACACCCCCCCCCCAAAAAAAAACAAAGTGAGGGTTTGTGAAATATGTAGAAAAATCCACCACACGTAGCTGAATCAACCACCGCAAAATGCGCTTCGATATCTAAATCAGAAAACAATTTATAGTCGGAATTGAACATTAAAATACCTGCAGAATTGAGTGAAAATCGGGGACTTTGATCCCCTGTATCTCGAAAACCCTGTATCACTCCGGAAGCCCCGGAGTGTCTCGGAACCATGTGCATTCGATGGTCCACCCGAAATGACCCGATAATCATTACCCATGACGGCACAGGTTTTTTCACGCCAAAATTGGGGGAAAATGGGCCCAAAGCACCCCTAAAATCCGAAAAAAGGCCCATTTTTCGGTCAATGAAGCTTCCGACCGATTCAGGACCCTGCTCAATCGATTCCTGGTCCAAAAATACGTAGAGTCCATCACACATGCACCATTTTACGTATGCACAACCCATCGGAATTTAATCATCGATCGTCTTTGAAGGCCATTTTAGCGCCAAAAACACAAAAATCGATTTTATTTTCGAAGAGCTCGACAGAATATTTTCATTTTAGGCTTAAATGACTGTGTGTGCATCCTACTTCAAGATCCCGAAGGAATTTTGAGTGGGCAACACAATTTCATTTATCTCCCTCTGAAACGAACCGTGTGCGGCCGACTTTCATCTAGTGTGACGTCATAGAATCATAGTTACGGCCTCTCTATTTTTGTAGGCAACGCTTTGTCTTAAATATTTTTGCAGTGAAATTTATAATGTGGGTGATTTCGGATCCTCATAAAAAAAGAAGAAGAAGAAAAGTTGCACAATCTTAGCGAGGTTGCCGTGGGTAAAAGCTGTTCGGTCGGGAAGGTTCTCATATGTTGTTTCTGAAATGAACCACCAACAGTATGTAGTTCCTAATTGCAAAATGCTATCCAGTCGATGTTGTCCAAACCCAGAGGAACAACTTCTTGGGAGCTTTCTTTTTATGTTAGTATACCTCTAACTTGTATTGTTCTGTCGCAGGTACTGATCTTGTGAGTAAGTTGCTGAAAATGCAACAATTGGAAGATGAAGATGAGCTTGCATACTCAATGGAAGAATCATCGCGCCTGGATACAACTGGAGAAAAAATACTGGATGGTCGCCCTGCATGGATGCGAACCCTCCATAATTCTGCTACCACTTGGTTAGAACTTCTGCCAAGAACTCTTCAGGTATGAACTGAAAAAGACTTATTACATCCATCTTGGCTGTGAAATAGAAGTGTTCATGAAGCTACAGGTCAAACTTCTCTAAATTGTGATAGGTTTGTTTTGAGTATTTCATATCCGGCGGTATGATGGCAGAGGTGAAACCTTTTGCTTGCCATGGACATGTTTATATATTTTGAGAAATGGTTTTTGACTGCACTGTAGATGTAGTAAATACATCTACAGGATCTACATCTCTGCGATAAAGTATACAATGCAGCAATGTAACCAGTCAATGTATAGAATACATGAAATGATCTGTCCATGTACATAGCTTGCGAAGAGAATAATTAACTGCAATCAGGTGAAGTGTAGTGTGTAACAGACTCCAGGTGATGTAGGTGAAGTAAGTAAATGTGCGTGAAAGGGTAGCTTGGGTGGCAGTCAGCAGAGAAAAATCCGGAAGATCCTATGTCCCTTAGAGGTGCTACATCAAAGGAAGCTGTGAATAATGGACATGGGCTCGTTAGTTTCAGGTTTAACACTTAGTCTTTATGTTTGCGGATGAAAACAATCTCCCAACCGGTGAACCTGCTCGAGTGATACTCTTCTTTTAGAAGCTCTGGGGTGAAGCTGATCTCATGCTTTTCCTCCCATAAATTGACGGATATTGCTTATTTTCTGCAGTTTGATTTTTGGTATGTCTCAGGTTCTCCAGGCTCCTAGTCTTAGTCGAATAACATTTTACAAGAAAGAACTATTATTACTGGCTCATGCTTAGAAGCACCTATCTGCATAGGAAATTAATGGAACATTTGTTGTTTATGAAACAAGTAAGAAAGAGTAGTTCCATATTGCGAAATGTATTCCAGTGTCGAATCAGTTCTGACACTTAATTTTACAGAGCCTGCTCTCTTGAAGTCATTCTTATTCATGCCTCTTTTCTTTTTTTTTTTTATGCTGAACTGTTCGTTTAAGCTGTGTGGATCTGTTGAAAATATTTTTGAAATTTAGGCAGTATTTTGAGTGGAGGTGACCATTCCGTACCCATTTTCTGATTCATCTTGGTCTATTTTCACAAATGTTGATATCATTTTTTACTCCTTATCCTTTTTTGTCCTCTCTGATAATAGCGCACAAAAAATTCTAGGTCATGTTCTGTTCATTCTTAACCGAACCATTTGTTCGATTCCTTGGTGCTACAAAGGTCCGGAAATGCCCAAAGTAACCACAGGAAAATTGTCTGGTGATCAAGGCGCCGATATCTTGAATTTTTCAAAGTTGAGAAAGTCCACGATTAGATTTTTGCAAGTATCTTCTCAACAGTTAATCCTACAAAAAAGCCAAAAAAAAAAAAAAAAGCAAAAAACAGCCGAAAGAACATTTTTTACAGGAAACATAAAACGAATCTCTTACCTACCATACTGCATGCCTTTTTATTCTAGTTTAATTTTTTGGTAGTAAGTTTAACGTCTTCCTTAAAAATTACCAAAAAAATGGCGCATTTTTGCCTATGTTGAGAGAAACTTAGGCTCTTATCTCCAGCCACCATTATCTGAGGAAAAAACTGTTAAGCCTATTGAAAAGAGCATAGAATTTCCTTTTTGTAAACCTATGTCTAAAGTTCTAAAGCTTGATTTAATACTGTGTAACAGCAGTTGATCGGATCCACCCTTAAAATGTGAATTTTTCCACCTTGTTCCTTATAATCCTATTGAACAAGCAAGTTCGTATTAATGAATCTAAACAAGGAGTCCTAAATTATCTGAGTTCCAGCTGAGTTAATTCGCTCGATAATCACTTTGGGCACACCAAAAAAGTCTGAGATCCACTCCTCAGCGCCCAATCTGCGTAGTTTGTAACACACTTTTTCTAATTTACCACGTATGCGAGCAGTTTTTCTTGATGGCCGGCAATCAGGTTTACTGTAAATGCCATGGTTAATATGCCAAGGGGCCCCTACTCATGGATTTTGATTTTAATCATCTGTCGGATTTGAATTTGTGTGATGGTGAGTTACATGATTTTAGAAAATGATTTTAGAAAATTAATGGTTTTGAGAGGATTTTTATTTACAGCTGACCGCTGTAAGTTGATTATTATATTGTTTACTCATTAATTGCTTACTGTTCATCTTTGCAGAGGCATTGCTTTGTGTTTTCCGGCTGCAACAGTGCAAGACTGTGCTCATATTTTATTTCTGAAAGGGAATTACTCAACAATTTCTTTTGAAAAATCCATTAATTTTCCTCACTTATTCTGAGAAAATCACACAAAATGGGTCATTAAACCATGAACGAATTTTGACCTGCAAATACATTCTCACAAAGGCAAATCACGTGTAGAACACGATGCACACATTGGACTCTCTAAAAAATAACTCAAAATCGAGAAGCATGCAATTCAAAAAGCGCAACTTTTTCGCAACTTAAAATGCTTCGGTTTCAGGCGGAACCAAATGATGTCATCCGGCATCAATCTGAAGCGTGCACGGTATTCTACAACTTCCGTCAAATGTTTTTCCACTCCTCGTATATGAAAACAAAAGAGAAGTCGAAATTATATCTTCAGAATCAAAGAATCGAATCTCATTCATGTTATCTGTAGTAAACAAGCAACAATTTCACATCAAAATTTGTTTTATTTAAACAAACATGAGTGGAAAATGAAAGCAGATAGCGATTTGACTGCCGTAATACTTCACTGCCATCATTTTCCCACCATTCTGGCGCGTTAGAAATACTTTCGAGGTCTCGGACTTTTTAAAAGGGGGCTTGTCCAGGATTTTGGCTCCAAAAATACACAATAAATCACCTTGCAATCTATTTTCACTTGGTACTTTCAGAATATTAAATAAAAAACACAAGGTTTAGTGACCCATTCCAACAAAAAAATTGTAATTAGTTTTCCTTGAAGAAATTAGAACATTACCAGAGATTTTTAAATCCTATAATTGAGACTTGTATTTTTATTATTCAGCCATGGATGTTGTAAAAGAGCAAAACATATGGACGGAGAAAGCCAGAAATAAGGCATAAGAGATTCACTTACCGCTTGTTGACAGGTTCAACATCAGACTAACTAATATTGTAAGTTACAATAACTGGTTGAAACAAACCGTTCAGCAAAAAAATAACGGACATGAGCAATGATAACCATTAGAATGCAGGGGACTATGAAATCAAGTGTCAGAGAGTCAGAAGCAAGTGAGAAAAATCAAGCTACGTAAAATCGGCAGTAGCTGCCCATCGTCGGGGAATGAGCATGGTATCAGTTTTACACTAGAACTACTATACATAAGAAGAGAACCATACAAGCAGTTCCAAAGACTGACTGATAAAACTGGAAGTCACACTAGTATCACATTATTTAGTCCCTTCTAAAAAGTGACGATGCAGGAATGGATTTGGGAAGCAACCAGCAGCCTTGACACCAGTCATACCCCGGATGATGGCTGAACAGGCCTAAGTGCTTCAGAGCTTAAAAAGAAAACATTGGGAGCAAATGAGAATTTAATTGCTGTCAACTGCTAAAGACCAGTAACGACTTCTTTTCCATTGTTTTAAATAGTAAACTAAGGACATCTGTGGATTTTTTCTCTTGTATCCTCCTGTTCAACTTTCATGTTTTTCCCTCTTTCAGACTCTAAAGCGAACTGTTGAAAATATTAAGGATCCCTTGTATCGTTACTTCGAACGAGAAGTGAATTCAGGCTCTAAGTTGCTGCGTGATGTTATTCACGACTTAGAAGATGTTTCTCTCATTTGTCAGGTAGATACTAATACACTACTAGAACCACCAATACTTCTAGGTACATCAATAATAAGTTAACAATTTTTATTGTATTTATGGCTATTAAGTCTTCATGTTAAATATTGGTGCAACCAAGGTGCAACTACCGGGTATAAACTGTGTCTAAATTTAGATGGCCAATTTGGTACCAGAGGAACACAAAAATGAGGTGAATAGATTTTTGAAGTCATTCTTTTTGCAAGTGTCTTTAATGCATAAAAAGTGTCAAAAGGAATGACCCTCGACTCTTTTCTCCTGATGTTTCTGTTTCTTTGTGTAATGAACTACACATTCGTAAAAAATTGTAAAAATTCACAACCAAAACAAAAATTACATGAAATAAATTTATAACTGTAAGATTGATTGATTGCCAAACCATGAACAACTATCATAATCTCATACATGCAAATACGTTTTCATTTTTGAATGGCACAGAAAACCTGCTGTATCTGACAGGTACCCGAATTTTTCATTAGTTCAGCCTTATAATTTGAAGAAAAATGTGATATCGCATTCAGCAATATCTCTGGATATTCAATGAATATTTGTTTTTTTCCCCGAATAGTCGTAGAATAATGCACCTTTGAATATTTGTGTGCTATCTGGGAAACAGAGAAGGGAGACCAAGGAATTTATTCGTCTCGCCTCCCTGCCTGGGCTTGAATTATATCAGCAGGCAAATCTGTTTTGTGCAATCTCAGTTTCTCCTCAATCAGCTCTTGCAAAATATCCTGCTCCTTCAAAATGTATGGCAGAAGTATTCTCCTCATGAAATTTTTTAATTTTCGTTCCTAGGGAGAAAAGAAGCAAACAAATTATCATCGAACTATTTTGAGCGATCTGGTTAAGGGCATCATTCCTTCTGGGTGGCGAAGGTACACTGTTCCTCGAGGATGTACTGTAATTCAGTGGATCACTGACTTCAGCTTCAGAATCAAACAGTTACAGAAAGTATCAGAACTCGTATCTCAAAAAGGAGCCAAAGAAATAAAAGTATGTTCAATTTATCCTATATTTTTTTACTTTTGCTCATTTCAGTATCTTAGGGTTTTTGTGTTCTTCATTAAATTCTTGAAGTATCCTACTTGACTTGATTTAGAGACTTGATCCATTTATGAGTCACAATGATTTCTGTGCGCACAGCTGATCAGCAGCTAATCGAGGCAGGAAGAAATTAAGGTTTGCAACGAATGTTTTCTATACGTTTTTTGATGCTGAATTCGAATTAGACTATATATTGTTAAATTTCCCCGAAAAATCGCCAAATTGTGCAAAAAGCTGATTTTTGACAATTTTTGCATGATATGGCTTTTCTGAGGAACTGCCTACCAACGGACATCAAATTTGGTTTTTTGTTAAAAATAATGTAAAAATCGAGTTTTAGCGAGCTCTCTTAATCATTGCACACTGAGGCTGATGTAGGTGTGCTGCTCACAGTTTTTTTTTCTTGGGAATGGGGAGCAAAATAAATGCTTTAAGTGAGAAAATTTGCCATCTTGAGATGTTTCAAGGCAGCATTTCCCCCCTAAACACACAATTTTTTCTATTTGATCCGGTCATTACGTCGTATATTTTTCATTAATAGTTCATTTCAGAAATAGAGGAAATTTTAGTGCTCAGCTCGTTTTTTACCATTCTTAAAGGAAATTCGTCAAATGTCAGACACCTGCACATTCGATCATGGTCTCACAACTCGTCACCTTCATTACCTTTAAGTCTTTTAGTATATTTTCTAAAGGAAATAATTGGACTGAAGACAATGTATTGAGCATAGGTCATGAGTCTTAGATTAAGAATACGCATGCTGTTACGATTCATGTTTATATGCAGACCAGCAATGAATTCATGCTTCGCACGGGACAAAATTTTAAACTCTAACATTAGTGTGCTGTAATCTAATGGCGATAATTAGAGCCATTTGAGGATTCAAAATTTGTATCATGCATTTGAGTCTATCTCTTTCATGTATTGAGTCTGGGCGAATTGATCAAAGAGCTAGGAATGCGTTTCACTTTCAATTCGATTGATCTGCAATATTAGCCACTCCAAAGTGATAATGGTTGTATCTTTAATTTTGGTGATCCTGTAGCGTTCAATGGAAGTCAATGTGAATACCGATATTTCAAGATTATCTGTTTTGGAGTGACCCCTCCTTCAGTTCCAAATTATGTTAGCATTGCAATTTCAACTTCAGGAGATCTTTTCCCACAAGTGTGAGAGCCGATTTTAGGCAAAAATGAGTTTCATTATCATGTTTCTTAGGATTAGTTTTGAAGGATCAATGAGATCCTTTGGGAAATAACCCATCGCCGCCAGATTTAATTTTTTCTTCTTTTTTTGGTGCCAAGTTAATGCAGGTAAAGTTTGGTTTACAAAACTGCACCCCTCTAACAAAATTAAGCAACGTCTTGTTTAACCCTCTTCCCCTCAAAATGGCGGCCTTTAATGTTTCTGAAGGCTTCTCATCTGGAATACACACCCTTTAGTGCAGGCTCAGACCGTCTCTCACGTCTAGAGCCTTACGTTATTAACAGCCCATTTTTCTTTATTCATTAATCTCTGTATAAACGTTTATATGGTGTGTCTATGCTTGTTATAGACCTTCCCTGTGTGGCTCGGAGGACTCTTGAATCCAGAAGCCTATATTACTGCAACCCGACAGTGCATTGCTCAAGCCAACAGTTGGTCATTAGAGGAGCTTGTTTTGGATGTAACTATAACTTCGCCTGATGCACCAAACGCAACGTGTCAAACGGATGAATGTAGTTTTGGCGTCGTTGGCCTAAAACTTCAGGGGGCTCAATGTCGCAATAATCAACTCCTGCTCACTTCAACTATTATGATGGACCTGCCAACTGTGCTTCTCAGATGGATAAGGTAATTTTAAAGCATATGATTAAGCATAAAAAAGCATTGATTTACACCAAGTCTTTTTTCATTTATCTTACTCTGTAGTATAAAATCATAAGGGCTCTGTGTCACGCTAAACATATCACCAACCAGTTTCTCCTCCACTCCCCGCTCCCCTCCCGCCCCCCACGCTCACGTGTTTCCCACCGTTTCCCGCTCCCCTCTGGCTGGAAGCCCTCCACCCCCTGTGCCACTCCAGCTTCCGTAGCCGTCACCTCTTACCTCCCTCCATTACCCCGCCCATCAACCACCACCGTTGTTCTGGCAATAATTTTGTCCGTTCAGTTATCTCGGCGATTTTGCGGAAGCAACAACTTCCACAATTCCTTAGTCTACCTCTCCCTCTTACACTCAACCATCTAATCCAACTTCCTTAATTACCTATCTTACCTTTCTTACTTATTTTTTTTTATTATTTTGCCTGCGGGAAGTAGGTAGTTCTAAGGCCTTCCTGATTTGGTAAGTCCCACCAGTGGGCCGGGTAGGTGAAGATTGCGTTCACAACTTTAATCCTCTCCTTTATTTTATATTGTTTTTTCGTTGATTTTATACATTCATTTTTTTTTGCTTTTGTTGGAGCTATATTTTATTTTATTTTTTATTTTCACCCTTTATCGAATTTGTTTTTTTGTTTTATTGATTTTTTTACCTTTACCTTATTTTTTATATGTACCATTATTACGTACCATTTATTTTGTTTCTCTTCTATTTTTTTATTTGTTTCATTTTCAACATTGTAAAAACACCCCTAGATCTTATTGCTATTTATATCTGCACATTAGATGCGCGAAGCACCTCTGGGATGTTGGGCAGCGGAGGGGCCAGGGGGCGTAGCCCCCTAGTGTAGTATACATTGATGCAAGTAAAGCAATAATCATTGATATGGTACAAGTCAGGAGGATTACAACTATTTATAATAATATGTTAACTATTTAAAATTCATCTATAGTGTAGCAGGCTGTGGTATTTAGTAGATTGTTGGCGTTGTTGAGGAGGGCCCTATTGTCTTCAATTTTTTTGATCGGATTTGGGCCGCTAGCAAACAAAGAGAACTGTAAAACCTTGTGGACTTAACCAGGGATTGAGAGGAAATTATAATTAATCCGATTGCCCTCCGAGTCCACGAACGACCAAGCGTCGCTTTCGACCGAAATATTAGCTCAAGAGGCCTTAGCAGGTAAAATAATTTTGCGTCACGCATCCCGAACTCGGAAGCGAACGTGCGGTTATTCTTTTAGTTGGAGGAACGATATGCAGTAGCGCAGGCCAATGGGTTAGTTGACGACATTGGACATATAACTGGCCGGATTGCCATCCCCTCGTGAGACAGGAGGGAGTAATACCAGTGCCCATCTCATTTTCTACGAAAGATCTTTTCATGCTCTAGAAACTCTTGCCTGAATCTACTACTTTGGTTATGATGATTCGCCATTTTTCTCTGAATGTAAAAGTAAATTTTTATTATTTTCCAATCACAACTGCAACTTTTCCGCCTCTTTTGCCATCTGCCCAAAATATTTTTAAAAACACTAGTAAAACCAGTAATCTTGGGTGTAAATTATTTTCTCAAGTTGATTTTTGCAATCCCTCTTTTTAATATGAGTTTGTAACACTCCTTTCATAGGTACTTCTGTATTCTTTAACATGTGTTTGTTCAAATGATGCAAATAAAAGCAATCAATCAATGGCAAATTGTGCGAAAACGGTGACTTGTAGAAATTTAAAGCAAATATGACTTTGAGGAAACTCCCAGTGGCTGACAAAAATAATTTTTTCCCAACGTGAATTTCATGGAGCTTTACCAAGCCTGTTTAGGTCTTAGCTCTTGATTTCGGACTTAAGTGACGTTGCCATCGTTTTTTTAAGCAAAAAGTTGTATCGGGACCGGGACACAGTATATAACCTCGGACCCCTATGCATACATCAACCCTACTGTTTTGAACATAGGGCCATTAACGAAGTCGGCAAAGCTGTCTTTATCAAAAGGCTAAAGAATCCATGCACTGCGGTGTTTCCATGGAACGGTCTATCCATCGCAGTTGTACTCGTCTGTGAGAGGTAAAAACTTGAGTGCTAATCTACCAAAAGCAACTTTTTGTGAATTTGCTGAGCAATTTGGAATTTGAATGTGCATTGACAATTCTTCTTTTGCTGCTATTTCAGAGCAAGTCCAATTGGCGAAGTATCTCCAGGTAAACTCTCTCTTCCGGTCTACTTGAATTCTACACGGACTGAACTATTGTTCACCGTTGATTTAAATATTGCGTCTGGACAAGACCCTCACAGTTTTTACGAACGAGGTGTGGCGCTCCTGACTTCCACTGCTTTAAATTAATTTATCTCTACGCCTCAACAAGTCTGAATTAATGTATGTATTTATTTATTTATTTATTTTTGTACACATTCAAATATGTTTCCTTTAAACTCTTTGAGATTTACTTTGCCTTTTTAGTATGACAGCCAGTGTCCATATTCTTAAGGTGGATCATCAAAATAGAGTTCAGTGTCTCAACAATCAAGTCAAAAAGTAGAACATTTAAAAATTTATGCAAACTTCCACAATTATACAGTGTATTAAGTATTATCACATAGTTTTATATTAAAATAGTTCGAGATCACTCCAAATGTACTGCCTAGGAATTATAATGAAATCCTCCATTTTTTAACTTGCAATATTTATTTTCAAAGCTCTGCAAATTATTTCATCATTAAAGGATAGGGAGATCGTTTGTGGGTCCAGAAAGATCAGCTCTGTGGAGCTCCTTCAAAAAATTGTGAAAACTTTCATTTTCAGTTTTAAACATGCATTAATAATATGATTAATTCTACAGTATTTAAAAGTGCAAGAGTATCACTCATGATAATTTTAATTGCCATGAAATTTTGCAGTGATAAATTAACCGGTTTGGATTTTTCTGAACAATTTTCACTGAAAATGTCTTCAATTTTGACATTATTTATTGGTTTGTTAATGTACAGATCCATCTTAATTTTTCAGAAAAGACTAGTTAAGCGCAAATTCATAACCTAGTAAGAGCCGTCGGGCGTTGAGAAGATCGTGCACAATTTTCCTGATTTAACGGGAGTCCCAAGAAATTTTCTCCATGCAAAGTCTATGAGACGCAGACATTTAGGTTATTCTACAGTAATGAAAACCATGCACAATCTCTGCAATGCCCTATTAGCGTCTACAAAGTTTTGAATTTTCGCTCTCCAAATGAATAGAATTTCACTAGTCCCTACAGTGGAAAATGATTATTATTGAGAAGTGTACTGTAATTTACTTTTTTTTTCTGTTTGTAACTGTGATAAAAAGTATAGTAATTTTAGTTTCTTTATTCCACTGAAGAATTAGGGTACTTTAGAAACCTTAAGAATGAAAATAATCTTATAATTTAGTTTATCATTATCAACTGTATTTAATTTATAAATATTTTAAATGAAGCTAATTAATAGTTTTTTTATTTGTGAAGACTCTTCATTTTTGTTTTTCTGATGGATAAACAAGAAATAAGAGGAGCACTTCAACTGTCAAATGTTTTTTACTTTATCTAAACAGTGCACACAATGCATGTAATTGAAGAGCCATCCGGAAAAAGAGCACTTGTATAAAGCTGCAACTTTTCTGGTGAACCAAATCGCTTTGTGGAATTTATAAAAAGCAATGCTATGATACAGGAACTAGATGCTTAATATAATCAGTAAGAAGGCCAAAAAAGAATGTTTGAGGTATCTCAGTTTGATCGCCTAAAAAAGAGAGGTGAAAAAATGGGAAATCTGCTCTTTTTCAAATTGATCACTTTTTTCTCAGCTTTTCTTGGTACTATTGCAACTCAGTGCAAAAAAATTTTCATGATACCACTTACTTGGTGTTACTCAGAGCAAGAGATGGAAGAATTTTCCTTTGTATTAGAATGTATTTTGCCAGAATTTAAGAGAAAAAAGTAGCAAAATTAATTAATGCAAACTTTTGTAGTCTAAACTCTAATATTTACGAAGCCTATTAAGTACTTAAGGAAAAAATATAATTCCAAGGTATATCAATGGACACACACGGTTTCATTGGTCGATATGGGAGCAATATTGATTAATTGAAACACGAAGGTGTGATGGTTTAAGGGATTGACATGAAGGGAAGCCAAGAGAAGGTCCTCCTTTCCAATGTTTTTGGCCTTTTGGAAGTTATGCGTGATGAGAGGGGGAAGAATTGGGCTCATCGCTTTTATCAGCAGTCACAACTAAAGACTCTTATTTTCATTAATAAACTTTTTTGCTAAAAGATTTTGAACTACTCTTTTTGGTCGAAACTATATTTGCATCTCTCATTACAATGGAACCAAATGCATTACCGATTTTTGAGGCAATATTTCTATCCTGATATTTGACCTTAGATTCAATACAGGGTGTCCCAGGGCACCCGTACCAGTCCTTTTTCTCGGGTGATTTAGGTCGGGGACCGCTGGGTGGAATAGGGAATGGACCCCAAGGAATCCGAATTTCATGGTCTCGAAACCCCCTTCCCCCAACTTCCCTTGGGGGGTAAAGGGGGGGTCAAAATTCTAAAAGTCGGTATTTTCAATCGAATTCCGATTCAATTTCATTTTAATTGTACGGAAAATTTCACGTGAAATCGACCCCTAAAAATCAAAAGTCGGACCATTTTGCGCCCCAAAACGATCCCTTAAAGAGGGGGACAGCAGCCCCCTCCATAATTTCCTTTTGGTCAAAAATTAACGCAGATTCTCCGGAAGAGATGGTTTCCCCGTTAATTGACCCCAAGAAATCAGATTTTCATGGTTCCGAAGCCCCCCTAGGCTACCTTGGGGGGGGGGGGGGTACAATTTCCCCAGACTTTTGAAATTTTGCCTTCTCCATTTACCCCCAAGGGAGGCTAGGGGGGCTTTGGGACATCCAGTCAATCGTCGTTATGTCACCAATCTGGCTAGGATTGAAAATTTTGTCGGAAACTATGAACAATATAAAACTGAAGGGACAATGGATGTGTACCTCCGGGCCATCTGCAACCAGCTAAAGATTCCCACCACTGAGGACCCATCTGCGGACGATCCTTAAAGAGGTAGCACATTTTTAGCTTTTAACAATTATCGTGGATGGAAACAATATCGAGTATCCTTTTTTATCTCCGTTATCTCCTTTTTTGGGACAAATTATTTTGGAAATGTTTTCAGTAGGACATCAAAGAAATTGGACAATTTCTTTATTGGATATTGCAGTTCATGGACATTTGGTGTTAGACAAAAAATGTTGGGCATTTCATCGTGGACATTTTGTATTGGACAATTCCACCTGTCACCATGTGGATGCCCGCACAATCCCTACATGGGATCTCATATACCACTCCTGATAAATAAAAAGGTTAATAGAATGGTAAATAAAAACGTTGAAAAGTATTCGTGAGTTTTGTTTAATTATATATACATATACACATCTTAGAGAACAAGGAATAGAACAATCGGCTCTCCAGAAAAACCACGTATACGGCCATATATGCTCACTCAAAAGAATTACTCAATTTGCTTGGGTGTGTAAACGTACATCATCATTTAAAACATTTGCTTTTTCCTACTCTTTACTTTTTCTCCTTTCCCCCAAAACTTCCTCTTTTCAGAGACTCACTGAGATTCTTGCTTATTCATTGCCTCTTCCACTCTCTCCTTTTACTTAGCACGAATTCTGAACTCTGATAAGAACCCAGTTCTTTAAAAGACAAAGGAGGGGGGAAAGTGGGAATTCTGGGAAAATAAACTTAAATGAACAGATTCTAAGAGGGGGTTTTGCAGGGACGCGATAATATAGTGTAGGGAAATTACATATTCCCGAGGATTCTTCTTTCAGTTCATCAGGCAAATTTCGAATTTCCATACTAATACATGAAAAATTTATACATTCTACATTCTGACAAACCAACCTATCAAAATCCATGCTTTTCAGTGTATCCGTACTTTTTTGGTATGGTAGACAGAGTGTGTACCAGTATCAAGAATTCAAGTTTCCATACTTTAACACTGAATAGATCAATTCATAACCAGGTCATAATTTAAGTGGAGGAGGAGAGACAGTTCAAATGTAACAACCATCCGGTGATAACTTGTACTTTTATGATGGAGGCCAGTCTGCTCTTACATCGGAATGAGCTGATTCAGGTAGCCATCTCAAATAAGCTTCTAATAAATCTGAAAAAAATATCCATTGTAAAGTCACAAAAAAATTGTACCTAAAGGAGGTTATCTTGATTTATGACACATAATAGTCTCATGCTGAACTACAGTAAGAGTCAAACCACTAAAATGAGGGAGAGATTAAGTACCCCAGCACATATTACGTATTTCAAAATCAAAATTTAAAATGATACGTGGTGCATACAAACCTAAAAATTTCCACATTCAACTCATGAGTGGATTAACAGCGATTTTGAGTTGATTGATGCCAAAAATTCCTGTTTGCTTAAAATTTGAGTCTCTTTGCATTGATTTGGTCACTAAACTTAATAGCATGCCTTACATATGCATTTAAAGGCACGCTCTTAACTTTGTTTTGAGTAAATTGTACAGCCATCCCTGTTTTCTACATTATTCATTTTCCAATGAGTTTCATGCCAAATCTTAAGTCCACTGTGTTCTTTCTTTCTTTCCTTGTGGTTTAAAGTTAAGTTCGTTTGGTTCGTCTATTAGGTTATTTTGGAATGAAATGAGTATAATTTAGCAATTCTGCCACTTAGAGGAACTATTAAAACCATGTCTAATTGCATTCTTGGAAGATTTGCCTCATTCTTAATAGTTTAAAGAGGATCCAACTTTTGCTGCTCAAGTTCTGTTTTATTGAGAATGCCAACATGACACTGTCTTGGTACAATGATGCAGTAAAAGTTTTATTGTATAACACACTGGTTGCGAAGCGGTATCAGTCATGATGGCAAATGAAAATTTGGGATATTCTTAACAAAAAATGAACCCTTCGATTTCCACTCAGATGGTGCTGTCTCTTTAGCAACATTCGTCAATCGTAGAAATATAAAAGGAACACATGGGTCCGTTTCTTCATAACCTTTCAATGAGTAAATGATGATTAATGTTGCTGTTTTATGATTAATTGAAATGTTTGGTCGTTTTGTTGTCTGAGTACATTATACCAAACACCAACCACATACCAAACATGTGTGTACATTATTACTACCAAACACTTCATGAAACCTGCTAGTTCCTTAAATAATCTGACCTAGAGAATTATTACTGATGATACTCACACAAAGGATCTGTATCCCAAATCTTCTTCAGTTTTTGCCTAGAATCAATGTCTTTGGTCATGATTTCTTTCAACAACATATTTGTTCGCGGCTGTAAACTAAAAAGAAAAAGGACTAAAATTAGTGTGAACGAGCCTTCCATAAAAGACAAAGAAGTTGCTCTAAAAACGCTGAGTTGGCAACTCCCCCCTCAGTTTGGTTCAAACTTTGCTTAGATGTTACACTAAGCGTCCTGATGTCTGAGTAAAATTTGCAAAACTTTAAAAGTCGATATCTCTAAAACAGTTGGAGTGCAAATGTTGGTACATGCGCTTCAAAATCGTCAAAAAATATTCCCTGTAAGAGTGATTAATATTTAAGCTGTTTCGATGGTTGCCAAAATTTATTATAGTCATGATTCAATTTTTTTCGATTTTGAAAGTTCGATTTTTTCCTGTTTTTTGTATCTTGTATCAAAGCAATTGTTGCGATACCAGAAAAAACCAGTTAAGATGATTCTCCATGAAATTCTGAACAATCACATTTTAATTCACCTTGGGGAAATCATTTGCTCTTGAGTTTCTGCGATTTTGGCACGTGAGATCGGTCAGCAGCCGATTCAGGCAAAGAGTAACTAGAGTCTGCAACATTTACAGAACCCTCATCGAAGAGTGCTATACCCGGTGTTCCAGAGCACCTGTTCACTAACTATTTCTCGGAAACAGCCGAGAATTGAGCCTCAGGACGAAAATGTCCAAAGGTACATCTACCCCAAAGAATTCAATGAAAATACTTTCAGCCCCCCGAATCCCCATGGGGGAAGGGGGGTTAAGGGGGTCCCGTTTCTCGCATATTTCAAACGGGAAAGGTATGTTTTAATGCCGGATTCAAGGTTTATGGCCAAAAACAAGAGCTTTATGTTAATGCACTTTTCCCCTAAACCCCCATTTTTCTGAGTTTCAAGGATTTTTGGGCAAATTGTAATTGGACACTGAGGCGTCAAAATTATCCGATTTTCAAAATCTAAAAGTCTCCACAGAGAAGAGATTAGTACCTTTTTGTTGACGTGCCTAAAAACCTATGTTGACCCAAAATTAGGGGGGCCACAATCCCTAAAAAATGTTGGGGCTTTGGAGGGACATAAGTCGAAAATTTCAAATAACAAGGGTATGTTTTTACTTCAGATTTGGATTCCACACCAAAACCCTATAGACTGGCCTTGGATATACTAACTAGACTGGCTGGATATAAAGATATAAAATTGATATGGCATATGACCTACTTGCCCCAAATTACCCTAGGACCGACCCCATTTCTCCATCAGGAGCCGTTCATTTTTGGAGGAAAAAAGGGGGCAAAACAAACTTGGGGTAAATAAGCCATATCCATTCTACGTAACTTTTCACGCGCTTTCCAAGACTAAAGTAAAAAAAGTACCCGGAGGTCGTGGTCCCCATAGTTCTGGATCAACAGGGGTCATGTGGTACATTAAAAAAAGGTATTGATTTCTTCTTTTTAGAGATTTTAAGATTTTGAAAATCCGATAATTTTGATGCCTGCAGTGTCCAATTGAAATTTGCCCGACATGAGGGTTTGGGCGAAAAGTGCATGAACAAAGACTTCTCATTATTGGCCATGAACTTTGAATCTGGTGTCAAAACATACCTTCCTATTTGAAATATGCGAGGAACGGGGGGTATCCTCATAAAACCCACCCAGAATTGGGTTTCCCGGCTGAAAATATTTTCATTGAATAATTAGGGTCAATTAACCTTTGGACATTTTCGTCCTGAGGCTCTATTCTTGGCCAATCTCAAGAAATAGATGGTGGACGGGTGCTTCAGAACACCCGGTAAGCGTGTTTTTTGATGCTAAGTTCACAGGAGAACTTCAGGGGGAAAATTTTCCTCAAAATAATTGCCAAGTTGTTCAAAACAGGCAATTTTTAGCAAAGTTAGCACACCTTGGCAACTTTGTGGACAAAAATGTTCAAAACAAACCTCAAATTCGGATTTAACGTCAAAACTTGTGAGAGAGGCCTCACAATCACTGTTCTGTAATGATTGCAGACTGTGACTTGCAATCATAAAGTTCAAACAGTTAGGACATATTGGAATCTTGGTCTTTAAAAATCGTGGATTGTTAAATGTAAGGTGACATCTCCATGAAGGACCCCGCACACCTCTTATGGGAAGCTGCACCATGAAGAATTGCCTTCTGACTTATGTTTATCGATTCTCCTCAAGATGCTGATCAAAAGTTATAATTGCGCCAACTTTCTACGATGCACCGTTTTCGCAAAAAACCTATGAGAAGATTCAATTATTCGGTGATAAAAAGCCAGAAAGATTCCTCATTTCAGTGCTCGATTGACAAGCGGCTGTGTGTCAACAAGGAAATCATGGGGACTCCCGCACCGAGCGGCAGTCTTATCTCGGATTCCGCACGCCGTTTTGCTCGACCACCATCCAAATCAGATTCTTGAGGAGCATAAGAACAGGAAAGTCTGAACGTCTACCGGGCGAGTGCGGGAGGGAGATAGCCCCTGAGTCGGCAGGTACAGATAAGAAGACGGACACGCACTACGTTTTTTCCTTATTTATTATTACATCAGGCCAGTTCTCAAATGCTTTGCTCTTTTTTATTCATAGTCTCCGAATAATTGAATCTTCTCATAGGTTTTTTGCGAAAACAGTGCATCGTAGAAAGTTGGCGCAATTATAACTTTTGATCAGCATCTTGAGGAGAATTGATAAACATAAGTCAGAAGGCAATTCTTCATGGTGCAGCTTCCCATAAGAGGTGTGCGGGGACCTTTGACGCTTGATTCGAATTTTAATTTTGTAGTGCGTGGCATAGGACATGTAGTACTGAGCAAATACTGCTCTTCTTAAATAACTTCAATGAAAGGACAAAAATAGGAGAGATTTTGGCAACAATACTGTCTACATACCTTGCCCATGACTTAGTCATGCATGAGGGACTAGATAATAGATGAGGGGCATTCTTCTGAAGAGATGGGATGATTGTCCCATCTAAGAGGAACATGGCAATCAAACGATATTTGTCAGTGCAGGCAGGAAACTCAATTTCAGTGACTGGTAAAGGCCATCCACTCTGCCCTAAATACAGAAAACGAATAAATGGGAGTGAGCAAGGAATAATGGGTCATTTGCCCCCATTTTTTTTAAAATTCATTTTCTGAAATTGTGGAGTAAACTAAGCTCCTAGGATTTTCTTCAGATTTCTTTAAACCCAAAACGACAAAGAAACCCCGTTTTGATAATACCAAGAATGGGACCTGTTTGAAATGATATATTCGGTAGATGCTGATGATGTAGCCAGGCAGGGAAAACGGCATTAGCTGATTGGCTGAACCCATGTTCAGTCTTCGCCTTGCCATGTCAACTTGACTGTCAGCTTATGATTAGTCTGATTTTGAGTAGCTTTTTCTTTTCTTAGAAATAATTATTTAAACTTATCCATGAGCCTCATGGTTTTTTCTCGAAATTTTACGAAAGAAAAACCATTCTGCAACCCTACAAAAATTCCTTGACACTGGCTCGTTGACAAAAGAGGCTGCCCCTCCTACGAAGTATGGCTCCTTCACATCCGATGACATTATAAGGCCCGATATCTAAAATTTTTGTGAGACTAGATGGTAGCTCAGGTTACAAAGTGATTTTGTGAGTTGTGCAGTAACAATTTTTAACAAGTTAAGCTCATTATTTTTTCGGTATATATCCATGAAATTATGATTCACTCTTGTTCTTGAGAATATCTTCAGATGAGAAAATGGATGGGTCACAAAAGTGACTAACACTGGGAAAATATGGGCATTGAAATGACTTGAAATGTTAATTGATTTGCTTTCATTATGATGAAACTAGCTTGCAGTAAAGTGAATATTGGTTCAGTTACACACGCATAATTATTTATTGAATTAAAAAACCATTTTCGGATTCTCCTCTTGAAAAAAAATTTTCATAATAGACCTTATCTATGATTAAGTTGGCAACCTTTTTATATCTAAAGCCACCATTTTTACGTCCTAAATCTCCATGTTGAAAGGAGAGGGGAAGTAGGTTTCAATTCTTTGAAAAACAGTATCATGCTGTTTTTTTGTTCACAGGAGAATATTGTCCTTAAAAGGAAAAAGTAGATTGAGGAATACTGACCGAAGGTTGCATTTACATGACACAACAATGTATCCGATTCCGCATCGTATCTTGGCGGCGGGTCTTCAAGTGGTTCTGATATGGTGCACATGGATCTCGCAAAAACAGGCAGCCATTCTGGTTCAATGGCTGTCACTCCTAAAAACATTAACCGGATAAATAACACTTTACAACCATAAAATAGATACATTCTAGAGCAGTGAGATGCAACGGAATTCGAATCCTCTGGTTTTTAGGTTTTGTAATGGGCCTGTTGCAAACTTTTGCTAGAGCAAAAATAAAAGTTGTTACTCATAGAAAATGTCTCAAAACTCACGATGAGTGCATCGGCAAAGTCTGAAATGCACTCCTTACTTCACAATTTGCATAAGAAATGTGCTCCTTTTCGAGCTTCCCGCCTCTAAACGATACCACGGCACAGGTAAACATTTCGTTAGAGGAGTCATTCCAACCAACCCCTGCTCACAAGGATACTACGCAATATTCAACAAAGCCGACGCCAATCCCCCAGAACACATGTGACAGGACGATGATTCAAATCACCTGATAACAATCGGCGTGTTTACATCCACATTTTTCTCGCATTGATAGATATCTGTCTTGATTGGCCTCGTGCTCTCCTCAATTTGCGCGCGGAAGCGTCGGCCATGTTCAGTAGGGATAGAGTGGAAATGTTCATCTGTGCCGTAGTATCCTTATTAAAGCAGAAAGCTTAAAAAAACGCAAATTTCTTGCGTAGATTGTGAAGTTAGCAGTGCATTTCAGAGTTTGCCGATGTGCTCATCGTGATTTTTGAGACATTATCTATAAGGAACAACTCTTATTTGGACCGCATTAAACAGAAAGGAACCAAGCCACATCAGCTATTGCCAAATTTGATTGGGCAATTTAATTTTTTACATATAATCGGTTGTACGGATTTTTGTGCAAATTTTAGTGGATTTTCTCCATAGTACGAGGCAAATGCCCTAAAATTTTCAAAACAATCCTTACAATTGTTCTCTCGTAATAAATTAAATTGTCCAGTTAACTTTGGTAATAGCTGATGTGGCTTGGTTCCTTTCTGTTAAACGCGTTCCATTTTTGCTCTAGCTACAGTTTGCAACAGGCTCATTTCCACTCAAAATCGTGAGAAGCCTCATCTTTCAGGAGAAAATTTTTCAGTGGAGCAATTTTAAACACCCATTACACCTATTCACTGAACAGTTTACTCAAAATTTACTTTGTTGTTTCCACTTTGGCTGCAAAGTATTTTTCTATTCATAAATTGTTTAGAGAGTGTGTAATAATTTACTGTGCAAACGAGGTCTGTCCGAGAAGCTTTGATTTCTTTTTCTTTTCTTTTTAAAATGGAGTTTACCCGCGACGTTGTAGCTTTAAGAATTTATGAAGTACTCTGCATTGGACACAATACACGGATTACAACAATACTGAAGCTTTTGAAAACACTCTAAAAAAGCCCACCTTTGAGATGGCCTGGGGAACTCATGCCATATTGTTTTTAATCACCTCTACCGAGTCAATTCTAGTCTCTCTCATAAGATATTCAGGTATAGAGAATACCCAGAATTCTCTGAGGGCTAAGCCTGGACTAAGCAGAGTTTGGAACCATAGAAATGTTGAACTTCGTCAGAAACCATTGCGTAAGACAAGAGGAATGGGCTAGAGCGTAATCATTTTGAGGCATCCAGTCCGAGTTCTTTGGTTAAGATCTCTGCTACTTTTGGGTTTTGGGGATTTTTATCCCATTCTCCAGTTTCCACACCAGAAATTAACTGTCTTTGGTAGTAGCATTTTATCAACATACGGGAGAGAAATTGATGATGTAGGTCTCCCGGACTGTGAATCACTTACCAAGAACAATTTTGTTACCTGATTCAAAGCGGTTATACTGCACTCGAATACTGCAAACCTCATTAGAATCATTTCCAAAGGCTCTCTAATCATTTTGATGGTCTTAAAGAGAATTTATTTTAGTTTGAAGCAAAATTCAAGGAAAATTTCAACATCTTTCCGCTCCACCATTTGTACGAAAATAAAAAACGCAGCAATGCAACTTGACACACATACTTTAATCGCATCTCTTCAACGACTGATTAAAGGAGTGAGAGTCCTGTTGCACAGTTGCATTGCAGAGAATGAAGAAAAAGCCAAGACTAAGCTCCAACTTTTTATCTCCATTACAATCTGAGAAAATAAAAAATCATCCATACTTTCCAGACAGAACTTGCAATCTCTCTGTGCTGGTAAAAAAATTTAGCTTGAAGAAGAGAGAGAAATTTGGAAAATTTTAAATTAATTCAGAATTTGGTAGAGTCACATGGTCACATCTTATCTATACTTTAAGCTCTCAAGCCTCCTAAGTTTTCATTTCTGGTACAGCTTAGTTCTAGTGTTCTACAAGGCAAATTTTCATGATTTTTGTGTCTTTCGCAAAAATCTACCGTCTATCAACAGGAGATGGTCTCTAGGTGAGCCCATTTGAATCAGATTCTGGAAATTGGCAAAGGTTTTTATATGTTTTGTGGTGAAGTTGCGAATTCTCCCATTAAAACAATGCGTACTTTCAATTTTTGGCACAGTTCATTCTTACTTCTACCAGGCTGATTTCCATGATTTTTACAGGTATCGTCTCGTGATAGTCCCTAGATGAGCCCGCTCTATTTAGATTTTAGAAATATGACCCATATTTTTCCATTAGGGTAGACCAGGGAGCTTAGAAAGGTAGAATTTTTCCACGCAGGGCCGGATTTAGCTTTTTGCCGCCCCTGGGTCTGCAATATTTCGCCACTATATTGTCAACAGTATCCCCTCCTCCCCCTCCCCCTCTCCGCACTCCCAACTTCCCGCGACATCTTATCTTGCCCC